CCCCCAGAGGCACCAGGCAGACACTGAGCAGCCCAGCACAGCCCTGGCATTCCAAGGAGGAGCTGGATGTGAACACAGGCACCACATCCCCTGTGCAGCAGCCTCAGGAGCAGCCCTGGCCCAGAGCTCCCAGCATGGGCAGCCCTGAAATGTTGCTATCCCCAAAGGACAGGCCAAAACAAGGCTTGGGAACTCAGCCCTGTGCTGGAAAGCCCAGAGCACAGGCACAGGTGTGCTGGGATGCCAAGCAGCACATGGTGACCCCTGGCATTGGAGCAGGGGCCTGGGGAGGCTTTGGAGAGCTCATGGCCCCACCAATTTCCTGGAGAACATGGTGTGGTGACCCACTCAGCACCACATCAAACTCAGAGACACCTTCCAGCTGCCACTACACCTCTGAAACACCTTCTGCTCCCTGCTGCCAGTGCTGTTTGTGCAGGTTTCCAGCTCAGCCCGTGCCCTCCAATTCCTCCTGCAATTCCAGAGCCCTTCCAGTCCTCAGGGGAGGCCAGCAAGGAGGGACCCAAGCCCTGGTCTGCTTCCCCAGGGGTTTCTGCTTCTCCAAAACTCATTTCTGGGCACTCCCTTCTGGCAAGCAGAGCACCCTGCGACAAGCAGAGGTGTCAGCAATGCAGGGGAGCTCAGGGATTCATTGCCCTGCTCCTTCTGCCACAGCAGCAGCTCTGTCCTGCCCCAGATGTGCCAGCACCAACCACCTGCAGCCCCTCACAGCCCCCAGGGACTTCTGCAGCTGTCCCCAAGCCCTTGGGCCACTGCCTGCAGGGGGACAGCGTGGAGACAAAATTCAAGCAGCTAAGAAGCAGCAGCAATCAGTTTTGAGCCATTTCTAGCACAACGTTTGAGGTTTTAAAAGTGAAACCCAGCAATCTTGGCAGCACTGGACATTCTGTTTGCGTGGAATGCTCTAATTAACTCTGCCCAACACTTGCTTAACAAACTCACATGTTTTTCCTCAATTTTTTTTCTCCTCTTGTGTCTTTCACCAGCACAGATTTTCCACATCCTCAACAGGGGAAGGAGAAATTGTCTCCAGTCATGTAGACTCCATTACTGGGAGAAAGGTGTGAACAGCAAGCATGTCTGGCAGAAGGATTCATTATCCCACCGTGTCCTTTATAATGGGAAATGAAAAGCCCATTCTGGTAACTACACTTTATTATAATAGGTCAGAAGAAGTGAAAGGCATCATCTTATAAAATTAACTTCATAAAGACTGCCTTAAAAAAATAATAAAAAAAAATCTCTCTGCCAGTTTATCCACTGCATCTCCCTGCAGAGATTTTTTCCTTCTCTCAGAAGGGGCTGACTCCCAAGTCTTGTCCCACTTCACTTTTCCCCTCCATCAGAAGGAACAGTTCTTTTTCCTCCTCATCAGGCCCAGACATTTGCTTTGCCAGATGCAATAAATGCCATGTCTTTGTCAAAACAAAGAAAACAGTCAGCAAAGGAGGTAAAATTAAAAGAGACACCCACCCCCAAGGTCTTTGCAAGAAGCAGTGTTACTTTCTGTGTAGGAAAGCCAGGCTGTGCAGATGAGTGCCCCTGATAACCTGTTCTCTGCCCTGCAATACCTTTCAATTGCTCTTCTGCTCACTGCTTCTTTAGGCAAACTAAAGCCCAGCCTCCCAGCTGATGAGAATTTTGTGATTTAACAGCTTTGTGCAACGTGTTTGACTGCAGTTCCTGCAGGTGCAGGCAAGGGATGGCCAGAGGGATGATAAACCACCTTCCACACTGAGTCCTGATCTCCTCAGCTAACTGGCAGGGCAGGGCTGGAACTCACAATTGCTGCAAATTCCAGAGAAATCAAAAATAAAACCAAAATTCTAAGTTCTCAAATATATCTTGCAAAAAAAAGAAGAAACAACTTCATCCCCCAAACACACAACTCCAAAAACTCCATCCTTTGGTGGGATGAGCAGCAGCTCTGCCAAATTCCAAGCACACCCTGGACTGAGTCCATCCCCCAGCTTGCCTTGGATTGGGCAGGAATCCTTTAAGAAGTGCTTTTCTACATTTTATCATTCCCTTTTGGAGGAAAATGAAACCCCCATCTCCTCAAAACATTATAAACCACTTGCAAAACAGCCTGATTTTCCATTTTCATGGAGTTGGTGCAGCCAGAGGGGAGGAGGGTGCAAGGGGATGCTCTGAAACAAAGAGTTAATTGGAACTCCCAATGAAGGCTGCATGGATCTCATGTGATAGATTCTTAAAGGAGCCCAATTTTCAGAAATTGCCAGGGCTCCAATCTGTGAAAATGTGGCCTTTCACAGATCTCCAATTCAGCTTGCCACGTCTAGAGTTCCTTTTGGAAAAAAAAAAAAAAAAAAGTCTTGCCATAAAAGCCCCACAGTTTGGTAGGAAAAATTAGAATTAGCAGCCTTCATGGGATAGCAATCCCTTTGTCTCTCCTCCCCTAACTGTGGCTCTTTGCAAAGAACTAAGCACCATTTACCTTTTGTTATTTTTCCAGGTAGTAAAGAGAAGAGTAGGATCTAATCAAGAACAAAAATGGGTGAAAAAAACACACCCACAAAAGCTAAATCTTCACACCTCGCCCAAAAGCAGCCCCTATAATTGAACAACAGTTCTCCCTCTGAAGAAGATAGGTGTTATCTTAAAAAAAAAAAAAGATAAATAAATCCCTTGAGGGTGCAAAGAGGCCAGAACCTCCAGGAGAACGTGGCAGGACATGCTCTGAGCCAGTGTCACCCCCCAGCAAAGCCACGGGGCTGGGCTGGGAGCACCTGAGGCCTGTGGAACTGCTAAAATAGGATTATTTTGCAGGCAGAGGATCTGAGACGTTGATCAGAGGATTCCTGACTCCCCTCCAACACCCTAATTAAGCACCACCTTCCTCCAGTCCAGGGAACAGAGCCTGCTGTCCCCAAATTCCAGAATGAAGTCCCTCCAGGCTGCTGTAGGAACACGGGCAGTGGTGCAGGGCAAGGCTGAAAATTTCAGTGATGGATTCATAAAAAACACAAGATCCAAAAGTGTAAAACCAGCCAGGGCAGGGATCCCTGAACTGCCAGAGCTGGGCAGGTACAGCAGCTTGAAAAATTCACTCTCCAGAACACCCAGCTCCCTTGGTTTGCTGTTCCAGTGCCACCTAAAGCTCCTGTGGGGCTGTTTGAGAACGGGGACTGAGCTCCTTGAAAAAGCTCAAAACATGGAAATATTTGTTTTGGGGGAAAATAAATATATCTAACCACATATAATATGCTATAGATATTTTTTGAACAATATTGGCATGATCTGTGTATTTTTCTGGGCTAATGCATACATATATATAGATTCTGTGTGGATATAGATAATGTGTGTGTACAGAAAATAAAACCACACACTTATAAATTAATATTTATTCCTAATTTAATATTTATTTTAAAATTAATATTTATTTATTTTGAAATTAATATTTCTTGATCTTTCTCCTGCTGCAGGGCTGGAAGGTGGCTCTGGAGCAGGGGAAACAATAGGGAAGATGCTCATCCTGTAAAACCTGGGGCTGTCACCCTGTGTGGTGATGCCTGGCTGAGTGGCCTGGTGGTCCCCAGGCTGGCTGTCCCTTGCTGTCCCCAGGCTGGCTTTCCTGGGCAGGCTAAGAGTGCCCCCTGCAGCCCTGCCAGCCCTTCCACTGCCACAGGACTGCTTGCCATTGCCAGTAAATCCCTAACAAAAGCCAAACTGAGGCAGGTTCCTAAATGCAGAGCAAGCCCAACGCTCCAGAGCAAAGGCAGCTGATTGAAGGGCACAAACAAAGCAATCCAGGAGGGTGAGGTGCTGGGCACTGCTCTGGTGTGCCTGGTTTGGGCTGCTCCAGAGGACAGGAGGGATGGCAATAGAGAAAGCAATGCCCCCCCCAAGCTGCAGGTTTTTGTTTTGAGGATAAACCCAGCTCTGAACATCCCAGGTGAATGAAAGGGATGCTCTGAGAGCACTGTCACCAGCTGGAAGCTGCAAAATCAATCAGATGTTCCCCTGCCCCTCCTCTCCACAGCTCTGAGGTGCCAGACAAGACAGGAGGGAAAAATCCCACACCAAAAACCCCCCACAGGCTCTGTGCTTGTGATGTACAAACCCTCCCAGTGCCTTGAACTTCACCTCAGCCCCAGCTTTGCTGGCTCCAGCTTTACGAGGGTCACAGCTCTGGCTGGGAGTGTTGGGATTTAAATTAGCAGAGCTCCACGTGCTGAGGAAACTCAGCATGGCACTGGCAGCCCAGGGGCTCTGCCTGAATCCCTCAGGGCAGAATTGAAGCAAAATGCTTCAAGAGAAACCTTTTGCTCTTCTAGGGGCATCTCGTCGTTGTGACCATCATCACACCCCTGTCCAACAGCCAAGTCATGCTTTGCCTTTAGTGAAATCCCTGGAATTCATCCCAAATGAATCCCTGGAATTCATCCCTCACAGCCTGCAAGGGAGCAGCCTCCCAGCCACACAGGAGCCACATCTTCACACAAATAAAGGAGGTGCAATTCCATCAACACAGGGAAACACAAAAATCCCTGCCAGGGGCTTTGCACTGCATGGTCTGAGCAGGTTTTCAAGGGTTAAGGAAAGAAATGCCCCAGAAATGTGACAAAAGCACCCAACTTCTGCTAAGACAAGCTCACAGAGGCCACCTCCCACCCAACATAATATCCTGTGGCAGAAAAATCAACAATTCCTGCACACCAAGAGCAGAGCAGGGACCACGGCCTGGGGCAGTGAGCAAAACATTCTTGTCCTGGGAGCAGCAAAGATGATTTTCCTTTTACAAAGTTCCACTCATTTTTCAGGATGGAACAAGGCTTAAATCACAGCACAAAAGGCTGAGGACACAGAGAACACAGAGGTGGATCCCCAAATCCCTGTTTTCTTCCACAAAGACAAGAAAAAGTTCACAATATTCACAAAGTGAGAAATTCCCTGTATATGAAAATCACAGCAGCTCCACCCCAGTGACCCACAGACCCTACAAAGCACTTTCCTACCTGAAGAGCTCCCTGATTTCCTTGACAGTGGCCTGGAAGGGGATGTTTCTGACCAGGATCTTGGAAGTTTTCTGCTTCTTGGCAGTCTGTTTCTTCCTGGCTGATTTCACAGCAGGCCTGGAAGGCAACAGGAAGGGCAGGTGAAGAGCAGGGAGCAGCAAAGCCACTTTGAACTGTGGCTCCCTCAGGATTTGGAATGTGGAAAATTGAGAAACCAGCTCACACTGGCATCCTGGGTTGTGCCAGTGGCAATGCCACACAGGACACCAAGAAGGATCAAATTTCAAACACCCTAAAATCCTACATCTGGAAATGAAATAGCCCATCTTGCTCCAGTTGAAGTCCTCATCTCACATTTGCCACTTACTTGGGTTTTATCACCAAATCTTACTCTTTAATTGTTAGGAGAATGCATTAATGAATATATTTTAAAAAATTAGCTTAATGTAAGCTAATTTTGATTATTTTTCTTCCTGGCTTATAAAACAGTACATTAAATTTTGCAGCAGACTATTAATTTATTTTTTTTTTTTTTACCTCTGGAATTGTATTCCATTTGGACAAGGTCAGAATTTACCTAACACAAAAGACAGCAGCTTATTCCATGAAGCAAAGCACTTCCCATTGTGGCCTGGATACCTGCTGAAGGGATTTTCAAAATCAAACTGGATAAAAATGGTTTATGAAAGAATTGAAATACAAAGTGCAGACACAGGAGCTGTCACACTGCCTATGGTCCCCAGGAACCATAGATTTTCAAACAAATTTTGATGTTTAACAGATGTCACTTCCAGTAGGGTTTCCAGAGTGTCTGAATGACAGTGTTAGGTGCCAACATTCAAATACCTGGATTAATTTGCAGCTTTACAGTTAGAATATTCTGTGCTGAGTAAGAACTAGGAAGGAATCCCTAAGAACTGAGGCTAATTCCAAGTAAATTCACCCACAGGTAACCTTCTCCTCTGTGCCTGATTGCCCAGAGCAAAGGAGCTAAATCCAAACTTTTATTTCAAGCAAGAAACTTGGTTTTGTCTTGATTTGATCAGAACATTATTCTTAAGCTCTTCTTTTCTCAGATGAGCAGATAGAATACTTCAAAGATTTCTTTCCAAGAACTTTTTAAACGCTTTGGAAATCACAGTGCTGCCTGAGCTGCCACCAAAGCAGAGGATTTTTCCTTGAGCAGGGAATAAAACTCTGCCTGGTTCTCACTTTGGACTCATTTTTGGGGCCCCACTTCAGCTCAGTCCCCTTTTTTTTTCCTTTCAAGCAAAACTGAGTCAGTAAAGCAGAGCAAAGGCTGTTGTGTTCAACAGCTGGAGCCCTCCTGGATGCAGGTGCTGGGGAAGAAGCTCCCAAGGATTATTGCAGCTGAAATGTCACTGAGGGGAGAGGTGAGCCTCACCTGACAGCTCTCTCTGACAGCTTCACTTCCAGCTTATGGCCATCCACAGTGCAGCCCTGGGAGTGCAAACAAAGAAACAGCAGGAAAAAAAATTATATATAATTAATAGAAATAAATATATAGAAGAATTAGAAGTCAAAGCAGCACTAAATTAACATTAATCAGTATTTGTTCTGTGAGGGATATCTGGGTCTGCACCTGACAGGAAAACTCATGAAAATTCAATTCTTGTACATTTTCTGAATTTCCACCTTGGATCAGCATTAAGAAACACACTTCTCTTTTTACAAACCTTCTTCCCTCCAAACCCTGGCCCATTTTAGAGGCTCCTCCACCTGTGCAGTGCAACCCTCAGCCCTGACATCCCCAGGTGCATTTGGCAGTGCCAGGCTGAAGCAAATCTCTGGAGAGAACTGCAGGGGGGCAGCTCAGGCTCACCTGGAGCTGGCGCAGGGCTCTCTGGGCACTCTCTGGCTTCTTGTACTCCACAAAGCCAAAGCCCATGGAAAGCAAAGTGCCTGGCAGGAGAGACAGGGGGCTTGGTAAGAAAGCAGTGATGATATAAGATGTACAAACAAACCAGGAGCAAGCACTGATTGCCAAAATTGGGGGGGACAAAAGCTTAACATCCCATGCAAAGGGCCAGCCTGTCCATGGCTGGTCTCATCAGCACCCCTGGCTGAGTTTTTTGAGCAAGGCTCTGCTCTGGACTGTCACCAGCTGGGGTCTGTGTACAGATCACAAACGGGACAGGGCTGCCAGGAACTGCCTTGAGCTGTTTTATTTTCCAGCATCACTCTCATTCCATGGTTATGGCAATGGGAAGGTGCCAGCAGCTCACATCCCAGGCAGCAGACCAAGAGCTTCATGTTACAACTCACTTTATAAGTTTTTTGCCCAATCCCACAAAGCAAAAGCACATTGACAGTAGTTCCATCCAACCACTATAAGCACCCATACCTTTGGTTAAAACAATGCTTGCTTATTTCAAATACAATACCTGCTTGTGAGCCTTAAAACACAATGCACAGAGCTCCATTATTAAGCTTAAAACTTCCTAATATCTCTCTAGATAAACTTTTCTGTAGCTTAGGGAGTTATTCTAGACAAGCATTAATACACAAACCATTGTTCTATTTGTCCTTGCTTTTCTACTTTTTAAATCATTTTTCTGCTGCCCAATCTCATGGCTGCTGCTTAGCTGCAATCACAGTTCTGCTGTCTCTGAGGGCTGCCTTCTGCAGCTTTCCCAAAACCCTCTGATTTTGTGGATTCCCACACTGGACCAGCTGGTTTTGGTGCTGATGCAAAGAGGGGATAACAGATACTGCACACAAAACCAACGTTTTGCTTTGCATCATTTCAGTGCAACTTCCTCAAACAAAACACTGCAAAGCAACTGCTGGTCACAATCAGGGGAAGAGATCCTGTTGTGGGACAGACATCCCATTAACTGGAGTGAGTGGGCAGCTGCCACTTGCACAACAAAGGAGAACCATCCTTCCCCATCCTTCCCCTCCCTGCCCAGCAAAGGGCTGCAGTCCCACCACACCCCTGAGCAACATGCTGCCCAACACAGCAGCCATAATTATGGACAATTAATAATGAGGAGAGAAAACAACACCCCATTTTCCATTTCAGAGCCTCAGCAGTGGCAGAGTGTAGAGATGACCCCCAGTGCCTGAAGGGATCAGGTGCTACAAGGTCAGCACACACTTGGTGCTGCCTGCTCAGACCCATGAGCAGAACTCAGAAGAATTCACTTCATTTTTTTATCTCCCAGCAGATCTGAGTTTTTAAATACCACATCAAGGAAGCTCTGTCAAGGGGAAATGCCACAAAGCTGTGCAGCTCCCAGGGAGAAGCCCCAGCCCCTCCAGCCAGTGCTTGCTTCAATCCAACTCCTTGGGAAGGGAGAGCAGCCAACAACAGGCACAGCCACTCATCCCTGCAGCCTGGGGGGGCTCAGGGCTGGCAGGGAGAAGGCAAACCCAGCCCACTCAGCACAGCTCTCAGCCAGGCATCCTTGAGGATCTGGCCATTTGCAGGATAATGCAGGACTTAATCATCACAGGGCACTGGCTCCTGTCAGCCTGCATCCCACTCTCCTCTGTGATCCTGAAGGAGTTTGGCTTCTCCCATCTCAAGATCTCAAGAGAAGGCCACATCTCCACAAATCCCACAATGGAGTTTAACCTTCTAGACCCAAGCCTGGGGGAAGCTTTGGCTGCTGCTTGCAGCCATTTCCACAGGAACACTTCTGGAAGCACTGAGGATTTGCCAGCAGGAACACAAATGCTCAGCCAGATGAGTGCTGAAGCAATGCCACACCTGAGCCCTCAGCTCAGCAGAGGGAAGGAATTGAACAGCAACATCTAGAGTACCTGCTTTGTCTTTCTTCTTGGATATTGTGCAGCTCTTCAGGGCTCCCACTTTGGAGAATGTCTGCAAGGAATTTGGACACGTGATTCAGTTCCCTTTGTCACAGGCTTGCAACTCAACTGCCAGCGTGGCACTCTGCCACACAGCCCCACCTCCCCCAGCACTGCAGCTGAGCCTTTCCCCATCAAATTATTCCTGTACAAGTACACACACACAGAGTTTGAAAGGTATCAAGATAGGTGTTCCCAGAACTCCTCCACAGCCCCTCAGAAAGTGCAGAGATCTGAGGTGGCTCTGGAGGAACACTCTGGATTACAAGATGCCCTCAGCCAAATAGAGGCCTTAAGGGTGGGTGCTGCCTGTGATGTCCCTAGAACACAGCTCTTCCCAAAAATGGGGGGTAGAGGGTAGCAAACTATTTATTTGACTCCCTTGTAAAGCCAGAAAAAGAAAAGGGGACAAGTCCCAGCCCTGCTCTGGGTATTTATTTGTCCACAGCTGGAGCAGAGTCTCCACACACACTCACAGGTCCAGGATGCTTGGCCATGGAATGTGGCATTTTACACAGCTACAAGAAGTGCCAGAGATGGGAAATTCCAGCTGCTTTTCCTTATTTTGGTATTACCACCCCACATAACTCCAGGAATGCCACTCTCTCTCCCAAGTGCTTATTGAGGTGAAGCAGCACAAGGCAGCACTGTCAGCAGAAGCTGAGAGGAAAAGCACATTCAGAAATCATCATTTATTTATTCATTCACTGCCTCTCACACACCAAGCAGTGGCAGAGCTGCAGCAGTGCCTGTCCCAAGGAGGAGCATTACAGAAAACATGGCAAATCAGAAAATTCAGTAAATTTCTGTTAGAAGATTTCCTACTGCCTCCACCTGTCTCTAGGTGGAATTAAACCCCACAAAACCAGCTCCAGATGCATTTGTCTTATCTGACACCTGGAGTGATGTTCCCAGTCCCAGTAGAACCCCGTGCTCTCTCATCTCCCACCAGATCACACTGGCTGCAGCTGAAATCCTTTAAACACTGTGTCCTTATTGCTCACCTCCTTCAGTGTGTCTTCTGTGGTGGCAAAGTTCAGGTTTTTGATGAACAAGGTACACCCAGGAATATTTTCTTCTTCTTCTTCCTCCTCCTCCTCCTCTTCTTCCTCTGCTGCTGCTTCCTCTGAGTCTTTTATAGCTTCACCTGAACCAAGAAGAATAAACCCAACTTTGTAAGATGCAACAAAGCCAAATTTTGGGGGAGCTTACCACTCAAACTGTGGGGGAGTTTAGGGATGGGGAGAAAGGTGGTGTATTTAGGGAGGAAAGATCAGCCCTCACAGTGGGCTGGTGCCTCACCCAGACAAAATATACCCTGGGGCTTGACACAACCCCAGAGAAACACAGAGGCCCCAGCAAGTCAGCCAGAGTTCTTACCTGGAACCAGCCCTGCTTCACCCTCCTTTCCTGGAACCACAGCTTTTTTTTTCTGAGGGGATGGGCTGAGGAAAACCCCCATTGGAGCCCACTCCAGATACAAGGGCACAGAATGAAACTGTGAAGGGAAGACAGGAGAGAAATGAGGAGTGAAGGGCAAGGCCTGAAGGAAAAACTCTGCTTTAACAGCAGTGGAGAAGCTGAGTAACCTTTGCAAGTGGCTAAACTCTGTCACAAAAGGATCCAGCCTTACAGGACCAGAGCCTAAACTCTCTGTCACAAAAGGATCCAGCCTTACAGGACCAGAGCCTAAACTCCCTGTCAGGTAAGGAGCCAGCCTTACAGGACCAGAGCCTAAACTCTCTGTCAGGTAAGGATCCAGCCTAAACTCTCTGTCACAAAAGGATCCAGCCTTACAGGACCAGAGCCTAAACCCTCTGTCACAAAAGCACCCAGCCTTATATGGGTCACTCCTGGATTGCAAAACCCTCCAGCTGTATGACAGCCCCCTTCTCCAGCATCCTCTGCAGGCTGAGCCCTGCTCTGCTGTACCAGGCACCTCCCTAAATCCAAAGGGTACAGCTTGGAAGATGAGTCCTTCTGGGATAACACCTTTTCACACTCCCTGAGCCCCTCACACTCATGGAGAGCCCTCCTGCAGCTCCCCAGCTCACCAAACCCCCCTTCCCCAGGCAGTGCTCCCACCTTGGAGTAGGCCAGCCTGGTGAAGGCTTGCTTGGCCTCTGTGGGCTCCAGGAACTCCACGATGGCTGTGATGCCTCCCTCTGGCAGCAGCACCCGGCCCAGGTCCCCGTGCTGGCCAAAGAGCTCCTCCAGCTCCAGGGCACTGGTGCCAGCTGGCAGGTTCTTCACCAGGATCACTGTCCTGCTCCTCTCACCAGCAGCCTGACACAGCCAGCAGGGAAAGAAAGGAAAAATATGGCATGGAAGGGAGCAAATCCAGCAGTTTTCTAACTGGAGATTTCAGATCTCCAAAGCTCTGCTCTCCCTCTCTCTGTGTCACTCCTCTCCCCAGTGCAAAAGGACTGACAGACATTTAGGGAACACTCCCTGGAAAATCCACATCTCATGGATGGAGGTGTCAGCTGCAGATCCACAGGGCTCCTTCCCTGCCCACCATCCTAATGCCATCATATTATGGATTTCACTCATCCTGAGAGCCACTGCCTTTTCAAATGGATACATTTCCTGTCACATTCATATTTTCTGAAAAATGCCTTTGCCCAGGATTTTTCTCCTGGGAAGCTGAGAAGCCTCAGAGAAAAGGAAAACAATTCTAATCTCATTTGCTTCTCCTGTGTTGTGCTCACATGTGGAATGTGTTTGGAGATTGTTTACCCACAGGTGATTGTTCCACTGGTTTCATTGTGTGGCCAACTGGGGCCAAGCTGTGTTGGGACTCTGGAAAGAGTCAGGAGTTTTCATTATTATCTTTTTAGCCTTCTGTAAGTGTCCTTTCTGTATTCTTTAGTTAGTTAGTTTAGTATTCCTTAATATAATATTATAAAAGAATAAATTAGCCTTCTGAGAACATGGAGTCACATTCATCATTCCTGCCTGCCATGGGGCACCCCGCAAATACAATAATTTCCTAACTCATCAGGGAGGGTTCAATCCTGCAAGATGCTGAGGATTTAATTACCAATTTCCAAGAGAGCTGAGAACACCAGGACTAGAAGAGGTGGATCCCCATTGGTGCCTCCAGCTGGGCCTCTCACCTGGCTGAAGGAATCCAGGCTGACTCCATTTTCCACGAGGAACCGGCGGATTTCCTGGACCAGCTCCGTTTCTCCCAGAGCCACCCTCACTGCCACGCTGTCTTTGCTCTCCTGCAGGCAAGAATTCAGTCACCTGCTGCTCTCAGAAGCACATGCAAAGGGAATGTGGCAGGCAGCTGGAGGGTAAAATGCTCCAGCTCCTCTGCAGCTCCTGGAAATTGTGCTGCTGGAATTCAAACACGTCCCAGAGTAAAATGAGATTTCCAGGAAGGATCTGAGCTTTAGGGTGTAAATTCCCACCAAGTTCTAGTTATGTAGAAATGCAAAATTCAGCCACAGGAAAGCAGAGTGGGAAGGAAGGGATCAATAGGCTCAGACCCCACAGAATGCCATGGAATGTGGCCTCAGCCTGTGTGGTGCCCATGGATGCACAGAGGCTTTTCCTGTGCAAGACAAGGCCCTGGCCACAAAGAAACGGGCAGGAAAGTGATGTCCCACCCCAGCTGGTCCATCCCAACCCAACTCACAGCATCCAGCACTTGGCTTTTGGCAGCATTGTACTTGTGGGCCATGGCATCAGCCACAGCGTTTGTCCCCACGAACAGAGCGTTCCAGTTGTGGGAGCTGGCAAGAGAAAACACAGCCACGGTCAGTCATGGGCCCTCCAGCCAATAATCCTGGGGAAAAAGCAGCTCTGAGCACCAGGGTGAAGGGAGAGGGAAAGAAGGGTGGAAATTCCCTAGGGAAGGGACAGGATGAGGGAGATGTGACTGGAGTGCAAACAGAAGCAGTGCAGGCAGTGAGCTCTGCCTCCCCAGACCTCACTGGGCACAGCTCTGCAGCTGAAGCTCAGCTATTGCCTCAGAGGAACACACCTCCAACTGGTTTCCTAAACCCACAAACCCCATACAAGCAAGGTTGCACCCTTTTCCCTTCAAGACAGAAAGTATCAGCCATTTCTTTTTTATTTTTCTTTTGAAACTGATTTGTCACACAGCAAGAAAAAGCCTCTACAAGCTCTAGAATTACAGGTGGCCAATCAGAGGAGAAGAAAGGCCCAATTGATCTGAAACCACCCCCTGAAGAATTACATAACCAGACTAACTCTTATTAGAGAAGGAACTCACACCAAAGCCATTCAAACCTCTCAATTTCTGCTGCTCACTGAGCTACTGCAGCTACTTGGGCAGAGGAGCTGGGGAGGTGAGAGATAAAGGAAACAGAGCTGCACAGCAAATGCTTCATCAGCTCTGGGAATCTCCACAGCCCCTGTGAAGATCCCACATGCATTCCTGGGAATCTGGCAGCTTGTGTTGTACCTGGAACTGTTGGCTTTGTCCTTGGCCTCTTTGTTCTTTTTGTAGGAAGAAGATTCTTCTGCATCTCCATCTTCTACTTTTTCCTTTTTGATGGTGGAGGGTAAAAGATGCATCATTCTGCCCTACAAGACAGGAAGGAGAGATCCAGCAGCTCTGGAATAATCCACATGGAGGAAATTTCCTGGCACCTTTCCCAGTCAGTGAAAGGAGGGAATTTTCCTTCCCAAAGGAGCCACAACTGCAAGTCAAAGTGGCCACACAGTGTGAGACACTCAGAGCTCCTTCCCCACCTCCCCCAGGATTCTGGTGTCTGCAAAGCTGCTCAAAGCAAGCTACTCTACCAAAAGAACCTGCAGGAAACCCTCAAACCCTTTTTAACAAAGCCCAGAAGCAAACTCTCAGCCCCATTCCCACCAAGCATTCCCAGCAGCTGCAGTCCAACGCAGAGGAAAAGCATCAGAGCTGTACCTGGAACACCTGCCCATCCAGCTCTGCCAGGGCCTTCACAGCATGCTCAGGGATCATGTAGGTGATGAAAGCAAATCCTTTGGGCTTCTTGGTGAGTTTGTCAATGGGGAAGTGGATCTCTGAGAGGGGCCCTGCAGGAGGCAAGGCTCAGTGGTCACAGATGTCCCTGAACTGGCACCTCCCAGACACAATCAAGGATGGGGGGAGCAGCTCTGGATGGGTGGGGAGACACCAGCCTGGGCCAGGAGTTGCAGAGGGACAAGGAGGGCCCAACACAAGCAGCCCAAGGGCTCTGACAGGTGACACAAACCAGGCAAGCTCTGAGCAGCTGCCTTCACCTTCAGTCAGGGATAAACTCATCCACAGCCTCACCCTTTCTGCCCCAGGATGCTAAGAGAACCTTTAATGTGTTTAATTTGGAGGCAGAAGAGGGAAACTTCAAATTGACACCCCAAGTTTGGGATGTCAAGTGGATCTGAAGGGTTCACCTCTAACCTGCAGGGAGCCTCCTGCCAAGCAGGCTCACATAATCACGCCAGAAAATAAAGATGTGGGAGCTGGGCCATGTCCAAGAGATGTGGGACACAGAGCTTTGTCCATTCCCACCCAGCAGGAACACCTCTGGACAAAGGAAAGACATTGCCCTGCAAGTTCCAGTCCCGTGGCAAACACTCACCATACTTTGAAAAGATCTTCTCCAAGTCCTCCTCAGTGCTGGTGAAAGGCAGGTTCCTGACAAAGAGTCTCCCTGATTCAGACAAGTCCTCTTCCTCCTCATCATCCCTCAGTGTCCTTTGCCAGGGCTGGTGCTCAGGTTTTGCTGGAACTGTTTCTTTTGGGGTGTTCCTGCATCGGGACACCTCCACAGTGTGTCCACCTGACCCAAAGAACACAGAGGGATGTTGGGTGCTTCCCAAGGCCATGAGCAAACAACACCCACGTGCAAATGACACCTTGAGAGGCTGCCCAGAACACAGGCAAGGCAGTGTTAAAGGAATAAAGCAGGTATTTATTTAAAAGGCCTTCAAAGGATACACCTTGGGCTGTGCAAGAGCCTGGCCAAGGCTCCAAGCTCAGGTCATGAGGTTTCACACCTTTATAGGTTTTGGTGCATTTACATATTGGGGTTAATTGTCCAATTACAGCTTCAGGCTATGAAATCCCATCCTCCCAGATTGTTCTCCTCAATTTGCTGCTGTTTATACTTTTTGGGGCTGAACTGGAAGAGGATTGTTTTGTCTGACTAAACTGTGAGGAGAACTTGTTAACACTTGATATGAAGTTCAGAGTTATATACTAATGCAGTACAGAATTTGAATAATGTGAAAGCTAAAACTTAAGACATCCCAGAGAGCCCAGGGTTAGACACAATTACTGCCCCACAGGCTCTGAGCAGGACTCAAAAATAAGGGGGAGGTGGGAGCTGTAAGAGTCAGTCTTCATAAAAATCAGGGTATCAACCCAGCCCCCCTTTCCTTTCAGAGAGCCCCAGCTGTCTGTGCCAGCCCACACAATATTTGCAAACAGAATTTCAGGAGTTACTCCAAGGGTTAGGCCAAGCCAAGGGCTCCAGCCCAGCCTTGCAGCACTGTCTGTACAAAGCTGGACTCCAGCACTGTTATTTTTACCCCAACAAGAGCCACCTCAAGCACACGGCAAAACACGAGGGCCCCAAAACCCCACTCCTGTCATAGCACCTGGTTTATCCCAAGGAACAACATCCCCATGTGCCTGGGAAAAACTCCAATCACAGGAGCTACTTGTGCAGGGAACACTTGAGCAGCTGAGCTCCCAGGCTGGAACAAGGAGAAGAATAAACAGCCCTTACCCAGGAATTCTTTTTTCCGCTTCAAGGCCCTTTGCATTTCTGCTTCACTCTTCAAGTCAACAAAGATGTAACCTTGGAGGAAGGGAAGGTTCAACTGAGCATCATGTGGGGAACATACACAGCCACTAATTGGGTAATTAAGGGTGAATTGGGCTTGCTTTAATATAGATTCTTATAGGTAGAGCATTCAGCTGCCATGGAAAGTTTCAGCCTGGAGATGACGATGTCAGATTGGAAAGCTGCCTTTTCAAAGCTTATTCTTTATATACAAATCACAAAAACTTTATTTAGCAGCTGGAGAAGGCTTTCACAGGTGCCTCTGAGAGCAAATAAAAGGTGAATGTTGGACTATTAAAGGAAAAGAGCACAGAGCAAAGCTCCAAGGACCTGCTCCCACAAATCAGCACAGTGCCCTGGGCTGCTGCAGCTATCCCAGGGGAACAGGCTTTTCCTTGGCATGGTTTGGGGTGTTTAGAATAAAGTTCTGGATGCAGCTCAATACAAAAAAAGATCCTGCTGCTACTCCAAAGGGAGCACAGCCAACATTACCCTGCCCACGGCATCCTGTGGCCAGCAAGTAGGGCAGGAGAGCTGCAAAGTCACAGAAAGGTCTTCAAGAATCAGGCCACGAGCCAGGGATGTGGAAATGCAGGCTAAAAGAGCAGAGGGGTGACCAAGAGGTCCCCTAACTCACAGATCCCACCCCCCTTTCACACACAGTTCTTACCTGAATTCTTCCCCTGGCCCTTTTTCCCCATCCGGATTGCCACTGGCTTCAGAGGGAAGAAAAATTCCCGTATTTTTTGCTGTGGGAAGAATCAGAATTGTTTGAATAATTCTCAGATACAGGAAGCAGCAAGTTGTAGGCTTAGGTTTTTATAAATAAAACACCCAGATCTCTGCACAAAGACAGTTCAGGAGTTGCCCTGATCACCCACAAAGCCCTCAAAGGAGTGAGAAGTGAAAAGTCTCTGCAAACATCTTGCAGAGGAACACTCTGGGACAACTCTGAGCCTCCCTTCCCAGCTGGGAAACCAAACTTGCCTCAGTGATGTTGGAGGGAGCCCCACGAAGTTTCACTGTGAATGGAGTGCTGGCTTCCCCTGAGCTGGCCTGGCTCTGCACAGAGGAGGGGGAAAAAGGGAGAAAAAGCTGAATGAAAGAACAGAAATCACAGCACAACCAGCTGGGCTTGGCCAACAAACAGGAGGCTGAAGAGTGGGAGGGGATATCAGGAGATTCCCACAGCTGCAGCAGCCTGGGGCAGGAGGTGCCAGCTGAAGGAGCACTGCCATGAAAAACTGAGTGCTGCTGTTGCCAGGACAGCATTTCCTGCAAAAAAGCCTCTGAGAAGGGCACCAGCAGCACTTATCTGGAAGCCCCATCTTTGGGAATTTAGTCAGCCCTGAGGGGATTCAGTGAAATTTGTAAATGGGTCACACCAAGGAGGCCAAGAGAGCTGGTCCCAGTGGGGCCTGCAGCCTTGCCAGGCTGTCAGCTCATTCTGCAGGACTGACAGACACCTGCTATCCACAAAGCTGCTGCTTCAAAGAAGACAAATCTAGTCCAGCTGTACCTCTAGTGTGGATCCTTTTTTCTTCTTCCCCACTGGTGTTTTTTGCTCTGTTTGTTTGGCTTTTGGCTTCCCCTGCTTCTCCAGGTGAGTTTCTGCAATGCCTGAATCCTCCTCAGTCTCACTTTCCTCCTCTTCTTCAGTCTCTGTTTCTTCCTCTGTACTGGATGAGGAGGAAGAATCCTTCACCACTTTAGATTTCAGGTAATCCATATCTGAGAGGTCTTTGCTGGTAGCTGCCTTCTTCCCTTCTTTCTTTCCTGGCAGAGAGGAGAGAACAGAGAAGATTTTTTCACACAGATGCTGCTGCTCTCCCCCCAAGCCAGGAAAAAGCTGAGAACTGACACAATCATGGCCATCACCTCCTTATTCTCTACCTCTTCCATGGGAAAACAGCAGAGCAGTTTGATCTTGGCACTCCTAGACTGACAGCCTGGATTTCAAAGCAACAGTTCATGTATAAAAAGGGTTTGAAGTACTCCAGGATGAAGTATTTTGTCACAATTTTAACTAAATACCCCGAGCAGGCCTCAGAGAAGGGTTTGAAGTGTTTATTTTTAGAGGGAAAAGGACACAAGCACACCTGGATTTGAGTTACCCATGGAGAGATGAGGAGCAGCAGGGAAAACACCACTCACTCCACCAGAACAGATAAGGAAATCCCAGGTAGGGATGGAGGGAGAGAGATAAAAAATCTTTATTTTCTGGTGTGATTATGTGAGCCTCCTTGGCAGGAGGCTTCCTGCAGGTTAGAGGTGAACCCTACAGATCCACTTGACATCCCAAACTTGGGGTGTCAATTTGAAGTTTCCCTCTTCTGCCTCCAAATTAAACACATTTAAGGTTCTCTTTCTCCCTCTGTGGGAGGGAGAAAAGCTCCAAACCCACACCCATCCCTGCTGCAGGGACATTGCATCCTAAATTACACACACCAGGCTGTGTGAGCCTTCAGAATGAAGCCACTACTCCAGATTTGCTCTCAGGAGCCAAGGCCCTGAACCTTGCCCCTTCCCCCCAACCCTGGCAGGCCCAATTTCCAGAAACATCCATCAAAGGCACACCAGATGAGTTCCCAGCCACCCACAGGTTCCTAAAGCACAGAAAGCACATCCAGCCCTGGAAACCCTGGAGATGAAAGGGGTGCAAGAAGGAAAGCACTTCAAGGAAAGCTGCAACTGTTTGTCCTGTTACTCCTCTCTAATGACACAGGGAAAGCACAAATGGCAGCCCCAGATATCAGACACTCCATCTGCCACAGTTCCCCAAATCTGGGGAAACAACCAGGCATTCCCAGCACACAGAAAGGTGAGAGCCCACCCTCCTGGTGACACTGAGTCCAATGCTGTCACTCCCTGTGACAGGAGCCACTGTGACTGACACAAGCAAAGGGTGACAGCTCCCTCAGGTACCTTTACCCTCCTCCTCATCTTCAGAGGGTTCATCCCCACCCTCACTCAGCTCCTCAGACTCATCTGAATCAAAGTTCAGGTAATCAGATGCTGCTGTGGCTGATTTTCCCTTCTTGGGCTCCTCTGCCAAAGTGTCATTAGCCCAAGTGGCCACCTGGGACCTCTTCTGGTGAACCACCAAGAACTCCTGGAATGTTTTATCTTCCTTCAGCTGTGGGGAAAAAAAAAAGACAAGCTGTGGAGAGAGACTCATAGTGAATCTAAGATATCACCTCATTTCCAGCAGTGTGAAACCAAAATTCCCTTAAGGGGAGCTCAATTTACAAACTTACACTGACAAGGTGATTAAAGTCTTCTCAAGGTGTTTCATTCCTATTCTTTTTTTTAATTGGTGTTTAGAAAGTACTTTAAAGAATAAAACAAAGCCAAAAAAAGAGGGAAAAAAGGGGGAAAAAAGAGAAAAAAAAAGAGGAAAAAAAAAAAAGAGAAAAAAAGAGGAAAAAAAAGAGGAAAAAAGAAGAGGGAAAAAAAAAAAGAGAGGAAAAAAAAAAAAAGAGAGTTAAATGTGACACAACTCAGCTATGGTTAAACCCCAGAACTGCTGAAACAGAGTAGACCTGGGTGCAGTGTGTGCTCATAGGAGAAGCTGACCATAAAATCCCATGTTGGAGTTGTTAAAATCATTTCTTACAACAGAACTGGCCTGTCCCAGCCTGAATTAACAGCATGGGAAGCAGGACAGAAAGGAACCATTCAGCAGCAAGAATGCAGGGACAGCAATCCAACCTCAACTCACCTCCTTTAAGTTATCCACTGGATCTTTCTTCTTTTTATCCTTGGGGGAAAAAACCCAGAAAGGTTTATTAGAAGCACAGGCAATTCCAGATAACCCAACAGCACAGGGAACAGAGACCCTGAGGCAGAAAACACCAGCACCAGGACTCCAGAATCTGGTGGCCCAGCTGCTCTGTGCCCTTCCCCACAGCCCAGGCCCCCTTCTGTGGCACTGATACAGAGCAGAGCCCCAGGAATCAGGCAGGACTCACCTTCTTTGTGGCTGCACTTGCCAAGGGCTCCTTGCTCTGCTTTTCTGGGGCAGGGCCCTTCTGAGAGTGCTTGCTCCAGGCTTTGGGTTTTGTAGGGTCACCAAAAGACTTGCACAGCTCCACCTGGAATGAGTCAGGTCTGTAATTAAGCACAGGGCTGTAACTGCTGGGGGGTTTCACTCAGGAGTTACTGAAACCCTGGTGGGATGGAGGGAGGGTGCAGGAACAGCTTTTAAAAGCACAGAGCCACGCATTCAGCCACCATGGGAGAGTCAGGAGTGCACAGGCACACAAACCCAGGATGGCAAGGGGCCTTAAAATGCCACCCCCTGCCATGGGCAGGGACACCTTCCACCATGCCAGGCTGCTCCCACTCCCATCCAGCCTGACCTTGGGCACTGCCAGGGATCCAGAGGCAACCCCAGCTGCTCTGGGCACTCTGTGCCAGGGCCTGCCCACCCTCCCTGAGATCCCATTCCTTAGGAATTTCAGGGAGATATTTCTGGAGATCAGCTCACTGTGACTCTGGAAGTGTCTATGAAGCTTTTGTTGAAGTGGTTCAGGGCTGTTTGAGCCTCATCCTCAGACTTGTAGCCAATGAAGCCAAATTTCCGGAACCTTCCATCCTTGGTGTACTTGAGACAGCAGTCAGTGAGCGTGCCAAAGGCAGCAAAGAGCTTCCTGAAACGCTCCTCCTTCATCTGGGAAAGGAGGGAGGGCAGCAGAAGGGAAATCAGCCCCAGGGAGCCTCTGAGTCCAACCCAACATATTCTGTCTCAAAGAGCTTCTGGAAGGCAGCAGGAAGCACATCGTGAACCAAATCCCCACTTCAGCCACCACACCCATTCATGTTCCCCCCGAATCCACGCGTGGGGATGGGGAACACGCGGGATCCTGCCGGGCACAGGAGCACCGAGGGCACCGGCATCCAACCCCGGACAGGAGAGGGGCAGAGCGATCCACTGCCCACCCTGAGGGGGTGTCACCTGCCAGGCCATGCCCCTCACGCTGCTTCCTGCCCCTTCCTGGCTGCTCCAGGAGCTCTCCCACCATCCTCCCCCCGAAGTGTCCCCATGTTCCACATCCTAGTACTGACCGCGACCCCTCATAGCCCCTTCCCCCGGGACACCTCACCGCTCCCCGTCCAAAACCTCATCTTCTCACCACTTGAAACCTCTCCCGGGAGAAGTCTCCCCGCTCTCCCCCATCCCCACCATACGCTCCCCTACCGGTGCCTCTCACTGCCCCGCATCCCGCTCTCCCCGCAGCGCCCTCAGACCCATCCTAGGCCCAGCACGCCCCCTGCACCGCACCGAGCCTCACCCCATTGGGGAGATTCTTCACGATAAGTCGCGACATGGCAGCGACAGAGGCCGAGCAGAGAGCCCTCAACGCCGCGCACGCCGCCCCATGGGCGCCGCCATATTACCCGGGTCACGTGGTCTGAGAGCGGTACTGCGCATGCGCAGGGCGGGACCCGGATGTTGGTCCTTAGCAACGGCCCCTTAGCAACGGGGCCTGCGGGGCTGGGGGCGGCGGGAGCATCCATGGGGCACCGGGGACAGGGACTGGCGGGGAGGGGAGGCGGGCAGGGTGAGGAGGGGGTGAGCACCCCCGGGTTTCCCCGCAGAGCCGGCTGCAGCCTCCCGGGCCGCCCGCGCTGCTCGGCGGGGCCGCAGGAGGGAGCTCCGCGCCCGCCGCTCCCGGCTCCGGGCGGCCGCTGAGCCAAAGGCTCTCCAGAGATGTCGAGTTTGTGGGGGGATGGCGCAGAGAGCATCGATGTCACACCTAAAAGTCATTCGGAAGGGGGACAGGTCTAGTCCAGGGAACTCTGGATCCCTGGATGTATTCAAGGTGCCAGGTTGGACGGGGCTTGGAGCAACCTGGGATAGTGAAGAGTGTCCCTGTCATAGCAGGGGATGGAGTGAGATGAGCTTTAAGGTCCCTTCAAATCCAAACCATTCTGTGATTCTGTGAATAAAGATTCCCTCCAAGGAACAGCTAAATAAACCCACAGCTAGAGGAGGCTGTGCTGTGAGAGCTCCAAAGGTTCAAAGAGAGCAAAAGTCATGGCATAAAACAATCCCTGCAAGGTTCCTGAACACTGCAGGATGAACACCACCCAGAGCTTCCTCATGAGGGACAGCTCCAATGTCTGCTGTGCCCGAGGGAACAGCTGCAGCTGTGCCAGGGGAAAATCAGGTTGGACGTTGGGAAAAGGTTCTTCCTCTCAGAGAGGGACCAGGAGATGGACTCTGTGATCCTTGTAGATCCCTTCCAACTCAGTATTTTATGCTTCTACGATCCATTGCTGGAGGCTGAGCATATCAGGGAGGGGAGCAGAACTGTTGTTCTTCAAGCATCTTCTCCTGCTCACAGCCCTCAGCCCTGTCTTACACCAGCTAGAAATCCAAATTACACCCTTATTCCCAGAGGAAGATGCTGGGGACAGCTCTGAGCTCCAGCACCAGCCCTCAGCCTCTCTCCCCACAGTGTGGAGCTACCCCAGGGATAACTGGAGCAATCCCAGCCCCTCACAGCCTCTCCTGATGCCCTTGGAGGCTGCTCTGGCTGGCTGAGCCCATCCCAAAGGCTGAAGGCAGCAGAGATTCAGGGCAGGAACAGTCTGGGAGAGGACACACAGTGTCCTGGCAGGACTGGGGTGCAGCCCCTGCTCTCCTGAGTGAACAGCAAGGGAAATGCATTTTCCAGGAGGCAGAGCAGAGCCGAGGCCAGGCTCAGGGCAGGGGGAGCAGGAGGCAGCATGTCACTGTGATATTTTATCAAAAATCCCTTCGCCAGGATTTCTTCTCCTGGGAAGCTGGGAAGCTTCAGCTTCTCCATGTTTTCCTGCTCTGGAATGTGATTTGGAGAATTGTTTACCCAGCATGTGAATTGTTTTAATGTAATGACCAATCCCAGTTAAGCTGTGTGGGGACTCTGGTCAGTCACAGGTTTTTGTTATTCATTCTTTGCCAGCCTTTTGATGTCTCCTTCCTCTTTCTTTAGTATAGTTATATATAATTTCATATAGTATAATATAGTAAATATAATATAGTATAATATAATAAATATAATATAGTATAGTATAAATATAATATAATATAGTATAGTAATAATATAATATAATATAATATAATATAATATAATATAATATAATATAATATAATATAATATAATAATATATCAGCCTTCTGAGAACTTGGAGTCAAATTCTCATCTCTCACCTCGTCCTGGGGACCTCACAACACCACAGCAGTGGGAATGCCATCAGTGCCCTGCTCAGAGTGCACCCCACGGCCCTGATGGGGGCTGGCAGGGGAGCTGCTCCTTTGTCCCCTCACAGGGCTGTCCCTGAGGTGTCACAGCACAGGGACACAGGTCCCTCCCCCCTCGCCCTCTGCTCCTGCCTCGTCCTTGGCCATCAGGGCTGTCAGGGCTGTCACTTGCCACGAAGGCTGGCACTGACAGGACCCTCACACCATCACTAACGCATCCAGACCTTGCCCTTGTCACTGCTGTCCTCTCTGAGACACTTGTCCCCTGTCACCCTGCCCGTGTCCTCCTCACCTGCTGTGTGCAGCTGGCAGCAGTGCCCACACTGCCCAGACAGGGCTGCCCTTGCCTGTTCCTGCCTCCTGAGTGGCTGGGCAGGGATGGATCCTGCCTGTGTGTGACCCCTCTGCTCTGGGCAGGTCCCCACCTCCCACCACAGCTGCACCTGCAGCCCCCTCGTTGCCCTTTCTGCAATCAGGGGTGATTTTGTCCAGGTGGAATTTTGCCCACAGCTGCTGCAGCTGTGAGCCCTAAGGATGCCTGGGATCAGAAAGAGATCTCTCTCTCCTCTCAGGGAGTTTGGGGGAGCAGTGCTTACCTGAGACCAGGCCAGCTACCCACTGACTCCTGATTCCAGTGGCCATGCAGGAATGTGGCCAATCCTGGTCTCACTTAATTGAAAACAACTGATTTTATCCCTCTCCTGTACATGCAAAGCTGCAGTACAGAAGCACAAGATTTACATATGCCAAATTCATTTTTGATTTCCTTTGTGGGTTCTGCTCCTCAGGGTGGGTCAAGATTTTAAGTTTGCAAATTTAAGAGTGGGAACATGCTTTTTCTGGAGAGCTGGGGATTTTAAGGGGATCAGAGAGATCTGCCCCTTCAGCAGGTGGTTGTGCTGCACCGTGGAAGGTCCTTCCCCAAGGCAGGCTCAGTTCAAGCCTGAGATCCCAGCCCTGGGAATGAGGGAAACTGAGGCCCTGTCCTGAGAAAGCTCAAAGGGGATTTTGGAAAATTCCCATTGCTTGAATGGCTGCTCTGAAAATCATCCTTAACCCTTCTGCTGCTGGCACAGAGCACAGGCAGGGGCCAGACCAGGCACTGTAGAGCCTGTGTGCATGGTTCACTGGGGCACATCACCCACACATGCTCTGAAACAGAGGCAGGGAAGAGTCCAAATCAGTTATTTGGGATGTTTTTCCCCATGGGAACAATTGTCCTTGATGGTGGCAGTGTGAGACACTGTGTCCCAGTGTCACAGTGTGTCACCTGTCCCCACAGCAGTGCTGGGGTGGCTGCAGGTGGCACCTGGGTGGGCAGGGAAGGAAAGGGCTGTGCCAGGCTTTGTTCCCTGGAGTGCCTGAGAGCAGCAAGAGGCAGAGGGTGACTGGGAGGTGACAGGCCCAGCAAAGGTGACACATCCCCCACAGCTGGGTGCTGTCCAGAGAGAGCCCCACGTCTGTCTGCTGTCCCCCCTCTCCATGCTGGGGTGCCAGGGTCCAGGTGACAAATGTCCCCTCTCCCTCGCTCTGCAGACCCACGCTGAGCACAGAGGGGCACCAGGGCAGTATCAGACAGGGCCTTGACACATTCCCCCTGCCAAAGAGCAGGGGTCAGCTGGCTGTGAGGGGCTATTATGGGCTGCCTGCAGCCAAGGAACTGAACTTTGCAAAGCAGGGCACCACGGGGTCAGGGCCATCTCTCTGTGGGGAGAGGGACAAAGGAACCTTGTGCACCAGGTTTGAGGACACTAGGGGGAAAACTGCTACTGAGGAGGAGAGGAAGAAGAGAAAGGAGCTGCTGCAGAGCCTTTCTACCCCGGGGTGGGAGAAGGCAGAGGTCAGATGGAAAGGCTGCTGTGGTGTTTGGAGAGCTTCTCTCGCTCTGTGCCCAAAGGGGCACCGGAGGTTCCCCCTGTCTTTGCTAGGTGCCACTCATGCCATGGCAGGCAGCAGAGCTGTGACCCCAAGCCAGAGCAGCCCCTGTGCTGTGCTGTGGTGTCCTGCCCTGGCCACCCTGGCACTGCCAGCCCTGTGAGAAGGACGAGCACAGCCCCAGGGTGCCCTTCATGCCTGTCGGATCGGGAGCGCCTCGGCCACCGCTGGACGCGTCTGGAGGTGGACAGGGAAGGTAAAAATCCCTCTGAGCCGGGGTCACCTTGGCTGTGACAGACTCCCCCACGCCAGGCAGCCTCTCTGGTGCTCACAGGATGCAGCTGAGCAGCTCTGGGGGCTCTGGGGGGTTCTCAGTGTACCCACACCCCTCCGTGGCAGAAAGCACGGGAGGTTCTCGGTTTCCTTGGCACACGGACCTTGAGTACTCTTTTCTTTGAGATGGGGGAAATGAGTGAAATTCTGCCTTGGGGGTTACTGCAGAGGGCTGTCACCTGGCTGAGGGCCTCCTACTGACTAAATTCACCCACAGACAGCAGCAAGGACAGGGATGAATGGGATCAGCAACACTCACAGCCTGCTTTTGTTGTGCTGGCCCTGCTTCGGTGGGTAACATTATTTTAATAACAGCACCCTAGGAAATGCTGCCTGAACCTCCTCAGTTTTGCTGCTGGAGACATTAAATTTTGAGAAGGGAGATGGCCAGAGCCTCCTTCTTTGAGCAAATTGTCCTGACAGTCCTGAAGGAGACAAAAAGCTGCTTTTAAAGATGGAGCTGGTGCTTGGAAAGGCAGTGCCTGGGACATTTGTCCCTGCTGTGTGCTGCACAATGGGATGGAGCCAAGGGAGGAGGAGGAGAAATTGCCCTTCTGAAGGGCTTCATCCCTGGGAGTCTGCCCAGCCTGGCCTGCCAGACCCTCTGCTAGAGGGACAGGATGCTGCAAGGATGCTGTCCTTGCCTGGGGCTGTGACTGCTGCAGTGTCACTGTGGGCAGCACAATTTGGCTTCCAAGTGCACCTGCCCTCACCTGAACCTGCAGCTAAGGGGACAGGCTGGGAGTGTGTCCATGCTCCTGCTCTCTGCCCTCCTTTTACCTGCAGGTTTTTGGTGGAGATTGTGCCAATCTCTCTTTTCAAAGCCTTCCAGCCAAACTGCAATGCTGAGATCAGCAGATGGGGGAGAGGATGAGGAAGGGCAGGAGGGATCTTCCCCCTCACATCAGGCACAAACAAGCTGCTGATGC